CCTACCGGCCTCCTGGTATACATTTTCTGACAGAAGGATCGTAGACAAAGAAGTATTCATGTATCCTGGAATAAAAAAAAAAAAAACGTTCCCTAAAAATAAAAGGAGAAACTGAAGGTTGTGGAGATAGATTAACATACTTGAAGAAGACGGAGGACGGGAGCAAGCGACAGTAGAGAAATGAAAGCAATGCGATCATTTTTTGCATCTTTAAATGTATAGACAAGAAGTCTTAGAAATCAATTATTAGGTTGTTCGGTATATTTTACGGAGTCCCCCCCCCCTCCCCCACCTTTTTTCTGAGTCAGCTCCTCCTATTTACGTACTAGGTCACTATTGATTAGTGATTGCTCAGGCTCGTCAACTTTGCTCAAGATTACGGGGGTGTCTCTGTGTACTGTCCTATACACCGGCCGTCGATATCGCTTGTTGTTTATTTCAGGAAGTCAGCGCTTTTAACGGCTAAAACATGCATAACTGGCCCTAACACAAACCCTTAAAGAGAGTGCGGCCGAGAGTGCTGCAACCAACGTCACACGCATTCTCTTTCTGGGAATGAAAACGGAAGACAATGCAGAAAGCTTTTCGAGCAAACAGTACACAGGGACACCCCTGTAACTGTGAGCAAAGTTGACGAGCCTGAGCAGGCACCAATCAAAAGTGACCTAGTGTGTAAATGGGCGGAGCAGACCCAGATGGGGAGAACTTCGTAACATTCCCTGTTTGTTCAAGTAAACAGATTTATATGATTAGACGGCGGGCAGGCACGCGCGCACACACACATATGCGATGGTAATCGTGTTTATCGCAGTCTTGCGATTTCTAACTTTTTGGTTGTTGTGGTTTTTCTAAGCATATTTTATGTTCAGTAGTTTGCCAATGTTGACTGACCGGTCAGCTCTCAGTACCACTGTCGTAACCAACGCAAGACAAACAGTCCGCAGCTGAGATCGAACCCAGCACTCCGGCATAACAAAGCGCGTTCGCAACGCGTAAGCCACAGACGCTGACAACTTGTGTATGTTTGTGTATTAACATCCTTCTATCTTGCAGGGCGATATCACAGTATCCAGCAGTAAGCTACAAACGCCAGTGGGCGACACAAAGAAGTTAGCAGGTATCTCAGTCACCTTTTCTGAGGGTTATCAAGAAACTCTAACCTTGTTTACATGTGTAATAATACTTTTCTCTTTTTGGGGAAAGTATAAACATTATTTCTTCTTCTTTTGCTTCTTTTTGTTTTTCTTCTTTTCACACAGTTCACCTGCTGTAAACTCTAAAGGAAAATTCTTATTGTTCGTCCTCTTCTGGGCGTTAGTATTTTTTCCCCAGAACTTGAGTTTTGCGTGCACATCCGTTTTACAGAATTGTCTGTACACAAACTGCGGATTCTTTGCCTCTGAATAGTCAATCGAACTTCGAAGGAAACCCCTAATTAGTCGAGTCTTACGATATGCTTGTTGGGGTGGGGTGGGGGGCAGTAGTTCTATCCACCCTCTTCAATAGGGCCCAAAACGTGCACGGGGACAACTGTATTTGAAATAACATGCAATGTAAAAAGAAATACTTAACAAATAGAATTTGATACATGAGCTACGGAAGACTCAGCGCCCTTACAAATTTTCTAGGGTTGGGGTTGGTCAGGCCCCTGTATTTTCCCGGCCGGGGTGGGAAGAGTGCTCAAGAGGCCTAAGTGCACAGGTTAAGGTGCCTCGTTTTCCACACCATTTTAAAAGAGTCAAGAATCTTTCATGTGGTCCATTATATTTCAGTCATCTCTTTGTGAGATGCAATTTGTCATTATTTGAAGCCCCACCCTGGCTCTTGCCAGGGACCGCATTATAGCCTGACCATAAATATGGTCTAATGTAATGGCTGAAAGCGGTTTCTGTGATATCTCCACGGGTGATCCTCATCCACATAGTGGCACTTTGTGTCATCGGGTGTTTATCCTGTCCGGGAAAGTGCATGTCGTGTTTTGTTAAACGACATCTTTCATAGCACAGGGAATAATTTGTCTTGCATACTAGTTGTTTAGGATTCACAGCCGTATGTTACATTTGGTTTTGTACGGAAAAAAACAAACTCTTGCCAACCTGGTATGGCAGGATGTGCATATTTAGGTGCACAATACAATATTGTACAATTTGTTACATTTATGTAATTATTACATCTGTCCAAGCCTTTTTTTCCCCTGGGGTAGAAAATCTATGTCTTAAAGGAGTTAGATTATCATCTTCACAGCACTCCGGACACATCCATAGGCGCTCAGATTCCCCTCTCAACATATTCATCAGCGTCGTGCGGTTATTAGTACCATTCCTATTTTTTGTTAACAAGACTTTGTGTGCGGCCGGTGTGCTTCTCATACTTGGCTGTACCGATATTTACTCCCAATTCGCGTATTCTTAGTAGTGATGTGGACACGTTGCTTCCAAATCCTCAGAACGTCATATCTCTCTAAGGGCAATGACAATGACTGCGTGATTCATGGGCCAGCCATCTTGAATTAATGCAGCACCTGCCAGTCTATCAGCTCTCTCTCATTACCAACAACACCTGCATACCCTGGGACGAATATGAAAGTAACTGCACACACAGGAGAATTTTGCAACGACTCAAGCCACTGTCTGCAGAAGGAGATGCTAAAGTGCGCACCGGCAGAAAGAAAGCCCTGCTCCTGCATAACCATTTTACAAATTGAAGCCCATTCTTTCATTTCATGTAGGTACTGTATCTATCATAGTGTAACCTAATTATATTATCGCCACCAACCACCCATTACACACACACTCTTTATATATTCATTATCCTGTCGTGCTTTTATCTGTCAAATAGGGCTAGCAGTATATTTTCATTCCGTTTTATCCTGTGTAATCAGTTTAATAAATAAACAGAGGGGGAACCCTTAAGGTTGTAGAAACATTATATATATATAATGTTATCATATATATAACACACACGTTTTATGACTCCTCAGTATAGCAAGTAATCTTTGGGTTGTTTAAGGAACATGAGACAATGAAAGCTCCCTGCACATCGCCCGCCACGCCAAGCCGGCGGGCCCTGGTTCAAACACAAATCCAGGCAAAGTCAATCTTGCCAGCCCTACCGGAACTTGTGCACTTGCTGGGGAGGTAGCCATTTTTGAGGTAACGTGCACCTGCTCTACTACTATAATTTTCTGATCTTTTTGTGCATTTTTGTGCTACTTATTGCTATAAACATGTGAAGAAGTGAAGTTTACAACTTGTTTTGATATTTTCAGGTGGAATACTGACGAAACGCTGTCAGATACGTTAAATATGGAGATGCGTCGTCCGTTTGATCCTTTGGCTCACGAGTTGGATCCCAGTTTCCGACTTACAAAATTTGCTGACCTAAAGGGATGAGGGTGTAAGGTCCCTCAAGAGGTTTTACTGAAACTTCTCGAGGGACTCACACAGGAAAGCAATGCACAGGACACGGAGCAGGCGCATTTTCAGTACACAGCACCATCTCCACAAATTGGTAGGTTACGTATTTTGTCTCATTTTTAACATCCATTCTCTTGTCAATGTTCGGTTTCCAAAAAATTCGATTTCCAAGAAAACTTTAATTGCGTTACTTGGATTAATTCATTATATTTAAGCATGTAGTATGTATATATCCTTGCATATTTTGATTTCAAAGTTCAAATGCATGTATGGTAACGTAAAGTGCAAAGAGTGGACAATTTATTGCATACTTTACAAACAAATCCCTTCGATCTTCAGGAAGTAAAGATGGCGTCTCACAGTTTTTGCATATATCCAAATGTTCACGTGACCACATCATTTTAACTTTAACCGGGTCTTTTAAAGGCGCTAAATATAAATTTTGTTGTTGTAGGCTGTTAACTGTATTTGAGAACAAAGGACGAAGGAAAATAGGATGAATTCAAAAGAGAAGAAATACGAGAAAAATCTGAGCAGTCACTATATTATACAGTTTACTGATCGCACTATATGTATTATAATACACTTGTACAGATGTTGGAAATAATCTGAGACTGTCATGAAAAGTGGAACAAATTGTTACAAATTAAGGCACTCTTACTCATTACGGGTCTTAAATTATTCACGGTAAAACAAAATTTGGCTATCCTTTGATTAACGGTCCCAAATTTTCGAGGACGAAAATATACCCTAACAGAGCCTCAGCCACATGTAAATTGCGGACTTCCGGCGGCTACCGCCTCCGCTGAGAGTTCTTGCGCCGCGCATAGTGTGGCTAAACTAGATGGCTGGGACTCACGAGCAAATAAAATGAAGGTAGCTGACCTGCAGGAGATGCGGTAGCTGCTGCTCGTATATTAAACAGCCATCTAGTTTAGCCCCGCTGGAGATACTCTCAGCGGTGGCAGGAAGTCTGCAATTTAAGTTGCCGGAGGTCCGAAATTTACATGTGACCAAGGCCCTGTTAGGGTATATTTTCGGCCTTGATAATTTGGGACCGTTATTCGGAGGATAACCAAAAATTCCATTCAGGGCCTCAAAAGGTCATATATTTAAAAGTCTAGAATAGAAACACTACGAACTATACTTCACATTATTATTTAATTTTTAATTTTTTTTTAACGTATCCAGAAACCATGAGTTGTAAACCCTTTGGCTCGGTACTATGGATATGGCAACCCTTCAGCCTTGATTCCATTATAGGTACCGTTAATCTAGGAGAAATGTGGCTTTTCTGCCTACCCCTGGGAGTAAACCCGGACCACAAGGAGTTTGTCAACCGGACGCCGTGAAAGTCAGGTTTAACCAACTTCGCTAGAGAGCCGGGCTTAATTTTCATTTAAACCAACATGTTGGGATGGTTGGCACATTGTAGTGATCTGTGGAGATATATGAATTCCTACACCAGCTGGCAAAGCTGTTGATGATGATGATGATCAGCGATAAGAAATTCTAACTTCCTCACTTTGGGTAACATGGCGTCACTATTTATTTTCCTGTTTGTGTTTTTCCCCAGGCATTGGAATGGACTCCTCTATCACTCCTCTACGTCACGGTGGCCTTTCCCTTGTCCAGACAACAGATTTCTTCTATCCCCTCGTTGACGATCCTTACATGATGGTCTGTTTTGTGTCTCGTTTGTTTGGATGTGCGACTTCTATGAAAGAAAGCATGTTTTTTTGTGTGTGAAAAGGAATAAAAAAGTATAAATACATTTTTAGTCCAAAAAGGCATCAACAGCTGTCAGTAGAGTTTGGGGGGGGGGGGGGGTATACAGTGTTGGCTAGAGGACCATTTAGTAAATAATTAACTTAAGGATTGCCTTAAATGGGCCCTAAAATAGTAGGGTATGTTATGCTCCATTACAGATTATTCACTAGGTGATTTTATATTTTTGACCACCAACATAAAGACAACAATGAAATAACAAGTAGTAGTAGTTGTAATGTATACGACAATATCTCATTCAGCCTGAATGGGTTATAATTTTGACATAAATCAAGATTTGTTCTGTTTCAATATTGTATGTTTATTCTTGTATTTACAAGTGTATTTCTTTACATAGGCCAAATGTTTCTAAATTGCAACACACCACATGTTGCTTGACATGGATAAGGTTAATTATATTAGTTACATTAACTGATAAACTAGACTTGTGTATTTATATTTTCTCCTTCTAACTAGAGCAGCGTTCGTGGCTTAGGCATTGCGAGTCCGACTCATAATTCCAACCTACCTCGATCGAAACCCATTGCTGGCTGCATGGATTTTTATCATGGCATAGGGGGTCGCAGGTCGGCTTAACCTAAAATGGGTACCAGGATGTATGTCTTAGGGAGGTAAAGACGGCCGGCGTGATGCTGACCACATTACCCACCTAGTGCCGATTCATTCATTCATTCAGTAGCATGTCCCTCGCGGAACCTCGCTGCCATAACAACCCTCCGGAAAACCTTCCTATCCTGAGCAAGATGTCCTGCGTCTGATACACCCATCTGGAGATCATCTGCCACATCCTGCACCCATCTTCTCCTTGGCCTTCCTCTTCCTCTCTTCCCAGGCATATACCCCTCCATTATTGTTCTCTCTAGACTTCCATGACGTTTCAAGTGACCAAAATATTTCAATTTTCTTTGTTTTATTGTCTTTACTAGCCAACCCTCTTCAATATTCAGCTCTTGAAGTATGGATGCATTTGTTCTTTTCTTTACCCAAGATATTCTTAGAACCTGTCTGTAACATTTATATTCAAATGCATTTATGCGCTGTTCCGCTTGTTTAGTAAGTGTCCAGGTCTCACAGGCGTATGTTGCAATGGGAAAGATGCATGCTCTTAAAAATCTGACCTTTGTAGTTCTATTAGTGCCGATTGGTCTAAAAATATGGGTGTTTTTCCCATATACCCGATGCGCCTACAGGCGGGAAAAGAGATCTTTACTTTTTTTATTAAAAAAAAAGGGAGTCGACATGTCATACCGGCTAGATGCTTACGCGCTGACCGTAAGGTCATAGAATCACTTTCTGACGAAGCTGGACTTTAAAAAAAAAATGACCTTGGCTTCCAGTTTGACCTAGTCTTTAGTTGGTACCAGGTGCAGTCCCGGGAAGTAAAGGCAGCCAGCGTGATGCTGACCACATCACCCATCTTGTGCCGATTGGTCTATAAAAATATAGGTCTAGCCCTATATGTCGTATTTAAAAAAAAGGAACCTTTACTTTTTTTTGGACCTACCTTCTAACTAGCACTATTGCAACAATGACCATATGGTTATTGACAGCAGATTGAGAGTATAGTATACAGTTTAGTTCTTTCTGAATGTTTCATTGATGGAAATAATTCCTATTGTTTTATGTATATTTATTTGTGATCTGTATAAACATTCTGCGGACACTGAAATAAGCGAAACCTAAAGGGGAGACAGTACCAGTCACTGCCCAGTCCCACTCAGTCCATATGTGCTATCATGATTCATGATCTGATTTCTCAGCTTTGCACATTCTGCTGATTTCTAGCCTTGGAAAGGGAAGGGAGAGATCTATAACATTGTCCCTCTGTTATCAGCAAACGTGAGCTTTCCACAGTCTGCGATCATCAACAGTATGTATCTGTTCATATGCTGGTACCCCTCCATGCCTTGACAAAGCTTGTCAAGAATCTTTTTATGATGTCTTCCTTACTTAGTTGTCGCTCTTCTATGTTGGGGTCTAGCGGTTTGCCAGAGAGATCGCCAGACTTCTCTGTTAGCAGTTCACTTTCTGGCTTTGTTCCATTCCAGTCCTTTGTCACTTAGGAACTGTCTGATGTCTTCCTCTGTCTCTTTTCCTCAGATCTTTCCAGTGGCCACATTGTTCCAGTTTCCCTCTTCTCAAAACATGACCACAAATAATGACTGTCTAATGTTTGAGATAAGCTCACCTCTTTTAAACCATCTGGGTTATTTTTGGCTGTCTTAGGAATTCTAAGCATTTTCCTGTAAAACATCTCTGAGGCCTCAAGAAATTGTTTGGCTCATTAACTGCCCAGGATTCACAGCCACATGTTAAAACTGGTTGTATATAGCATACAGTAATTCTTTTTCTAGCCCCCAATGACATGGGAGAACATCTTTAGTACTACTTCTAAAAACAAGTTAATATACCACTGAACCTCGATAGATACAAGTTCTTTCAAGACAGTGGTTTCAGGTTTTTTCAGATAGTGGCCCCTCTCCACACAATTATACGGCAAGACTCCCACGCCCCCTTTTTCCCCAACTAAAAAAATATGATTAAAAAGGGATTAAAAAAAAACATTAGCAAGAATTACGTTAGCTTATTAATTATATTTTTAACAGTAGACATACAAACTGCTCATGACAACAACAAAATCCTCGACTTTTTGTTTTACAGTTTGAAATAAATATCTTAGTACACGTGCATTTTCAACGATTGGTTGACACCTCCCCCCCTTTCCCCCTCCCCAACCCCATGTTGAAAACCACTCTTTTAGGAGCTCATGAAGCTTGAATCTAAATAAACAGAACCAACCTTGATTGTATTGCCTTTGTTGAATGATGAATGCCTGTCCAATATCATAGGGCAAGATAGCCTGCGCCAATGTGCTGAGTGACTTGTATGCCATGGGTGTGACAGACTGTGACAACATGCTGATGTTGCTGGCATGCAGTAACAAGATGTCGGACAAGGAGCGAAATGTCATTATTCCAATCATCATGCGTGGCTTTAAGGTATTTCCCTGATTGTTTTGGTAGCTGAGTTCACTGCACCTCCAAGTGGGCTCCAGAGCCTCATTTTGGGTGAGTAAATAGGATCCACAGCCCCATCAGCAAGTATGTCCTAAAAGGCAACTGATTAAGGTTTGGCCATGTGCAACTGTGGAAAGATGCCCCAGACACCAGAGCATGTACTCCAGGACTGCACCGAATTTGACACGTTAAGGCAAACCTTTTGGCCAGAAAGAACAATAGTGGAACGTAAACTCTATGGACCACTGAATGAATTAACAACAGTGAAATTTATACAAGAGACAAAATTGCTGATATAGACAACTTATTTCAGGCGAACGAAAGAAGAAGATTTGGTTGAAATCTAATTAGTTTGACCGAAAGTGTCATGCATCTAAACATAGCTCTAAGCCACAACATGACAAACCCCTTCTTCCCTTTAAAGGACAAAACAAGTTCACTGCACCTGCTAGCATTCTAATTATTTCATTGAATGTTTATCATGTTCTGGTAAGTTTTAAAGTGCTGTACTAAAAATTGTTAGTTGTTCATCCTTTACAGCAGTGGTTCTCAACCTTTATAAAGCTGCGCCCCCTTATTAGTATATTGACCCCCCAACCATAATTTTTTTTTCATTGTTACTTAATAATAACTTCAGTGAATATATGTGTTCCGATGGTCTTAGATAACCCGCTGACCCACAGGTTGAAAACCTCTGCTTTACAGGATGTTGCAGACTCAAGCTTCAATTGTTTGTCATCTCTTCGTCTGAATCTTCATCTGTCTTTGCAAATATTGGGTTTTAGTAGGTAGAAAGCCTATGCTTCACTGGGAGGTGAAGGGCGGAAGAAGTAGAAATCATAAGCTCCATAAAATAGTTTATAGTTTTATGAATTTTCTAAAGATAAACGGAATGGAGGGTATACATGGTCATTAAACCTAATTATGAGAAGTCAATAAGTAAGTCACGAAAGTTTGTTGAAAAAAAAAAAAAACTAAAGGTGATAGCAGCACAGGGAGATAGTCCTTCAAAAGTAATAATTTCCAGTTCGCTTTTCTGTCAGGTTACATCATTTGTATGCAACTATATTTTACCAGGATGCAGCAGAGGAAGGTGGCACACAGGTGACAGGCGGTCAGACTGTTATCAATCCTTGGTTGACGATCGGAGGGGTTGCTTCATCAGTGTGTCAGTCCAATGAATACATCATGTGAGTGTGCAGGTCTTGTCTGCTTTGTAGTTTTCCTTATGTTATTGTAATATGTCCTATTTACAGCTTGACAAGTTTTCCTGCTTGTGCGATGTCATTTTTTTTCTGGGACACTATCCGTTGCTTTTGCCCTAGATTCTGCCATCATGCATTTTCAGTAACCAATCTCAGCTTCTGTTGGGATCAAGCAAACCTGTTGTTGTTGTTGTTGCACTTTCTAGAACCCACAGAAAAGCTGATAGTGGAAATTCCACATTTATTCAGTTTGGCAGTATAACTTAACATCAAGATAAGTGAGACATTAGTTGGGTTTTTCCTGTCAGAAATTACCCCTTGGTAAGACAGAATGATTGACGAACAGTCTTTCTGTAGTAGACAGGGGTTATATAGAAGGGAGTTGCCAGAATCTCCTCTTTGTTAGTAAACTGAGGTTTCTGACAGCTCGGAAAAACAATTATCTTGACACTCAAGACAGTGCCTTACTTCACATCAGTGTTTATCAGTCCATTAACTCTACTAGACTTTAGGCCCTCAACCTAACTGTCCCCTATACCTGAGCTCCTGGGCAATAACGCAAAAAAAAAAAACTAACATTATTTACGAAGATATTAAACAGTGTTTTCCCGTAATGAATTTAAATAATGCGGACACCAATACTTTGCACAATTTATTGCCAGGCATATTTCACTGTATCTCGTCAGGTGCGTTACTGCAGAGCTACATTAACATAAAATGGAGCACAAAACTGAATAAATGCAACTGAAATAAAAATAGTTCTTCGGACACATCATGTGTGTTATTTGGCCGCCTGAAGCTCACCGTAGTCACGTGACTTACCAGGGTAACAAAAATAGTTGTTGAATGCAAACAAGTGGTTAGAATAAGGTGAAACTTGGAGACATTGTAGAAAATAGGTTGGCCTTTAATTTAGCGCTATTTTTCCACCTTTGTGTGCCAGTCCACCCAGCAGAATCAGTCGTTTTCACAAAGTGAGCACCAATGTTGCTGTTTAAGGGATACACCTCTCTTCTCTTACTATCGATCTAGTTCTAGACCTATAAGGTTTTAGATTCTCATCACTAGAGCTGAGCTCACTGTCTGTCTCACTTGAACTGGGAGCATATTCTTTATGAAATTCTAACTACTCAGAGTCTGAATCAACCAAAGTATTAATAACCTGTTGGAAAAGCCTAGACCTCTTCGCTTTCTAGTCCAAGTGCTCGGTTCATTAGCCGCTCGTTTTATTGTGAATTTTTAAAATTAATTTACGTTTAACCACACAAAGTAAATCCAAACACATGTGGGCAGCTATTTACAGTGACTAAAATGAGGTTTGACCACAATTAGTTGCTTATTTTTTTAGCTTGCGACTCATTTTTTAACGTAAAACTCTAAGTACCAAACATTAGGTAAAGCAGTTTAGCTGCAGATTAGGAAATTCCCGGAAAAGCGGTACTGGTAGAGTTAAGTCTGTCAGACCAAAAAGTGGTGTTGAAGTCATCAGATCACATCCTTCATTTGTCTACTTGTCTCTACAGCACCCTTCATCTGTCTGTGTTTAAAGTTATATCCCAATGTCCTTACATGCTTGTTTGATGACATTTGTTCTAGGACGTTATTACTTTCTTTTGGTATTGATTCTGTCATCCAGCATTTTCAGTAGGTCTGCCTGCCTCATTAGTCATTAGTGACAGTTTCAATCTTGGCAAAATCAGCAGCAAACTCACATTAAATGCATAAGACAACGACTAGACATGCCAACATATGCGGTCAACTATAATTGCAGTTCATCATCGATGGAAGCAGCATTCGGAAGAAATCAGCAGTTGCACACTCAGTGTTATGCAAGGCACAGCCAGTTCTGTGGCAACGAGCCACCTACTGTTTTTTAAATCTGCAGTTTTCAATACATACCACATTAGACACAGCTGAAGGGCATTTCACATAGAATCTACAGCTCACTGTGTCGCACCACACATACATATTTTCTTTTTCTTCACGATCACCTGCTATAAACTCTGGCAGACATTCCTCGTTCATCCAGCAGCTCTGGTGAGGAGGCAGTGGGTCTGTTCTTGTTTTCCCCACCATGGGACCCCGGAACCCACAGATGAACTTTACAACATGCTTGTTGGGGAGGCAGTGAGTCAGTTTTTGGTCTACCCTAAAATAGGACACCAAAACCCACATGGGATTTTTTTTTTAAACTGAAAAAGTTATGAACTGAAAAAGTTATGAACTGAAAAAGTTATGAACTGAAAAAGTTATGAACTGAAAAAGTTATGAACTGAAAAAGTTATGAACTGAAAAAGTTATGAACTGAAAAAGTTATGAACTGAAAAAGTTATGAACTGAAAAAGTTTCCAGTCTTTGCATTTCATGAGTTTGTATCTTTCCCAGGCCAGACAATGCAGTTGTTGGGGATGTCCTGGTCCTGACGAAGCCTCTGGGTACACAGACTGCAGTGAATGCCTACCAGTGGTTGGATCAGCCAGAGAGATGGAACCGCGTGAAGCTGGTAGTATCAGAAGATGATGTGAGACGAGCTTATCAGCGAGCAATGTTCAGTATGGCCCGTCTCAACAGAATAGGTAACGTTTCAGTTTAAAAAATACATTGTCTATTTGTAGAAAGCAAAAATAATTCTACAGATGCATGTATGTGTGCATATATATGCATGCATGTGTGTTTGGTGTACTTGTGTGTGTGTGTCTATATTTAAACATGCAGATTTGCCATGCACGTTTTTTTGTGTTCACTTGCTCCTGTTAATGAATACTGCTGTATTCACATAACATCATATTAGATGGAATACAGTTAGGGTGTGAGAGAAGACTGCTTGAAAGGGCAGAATGGTTTTTCTAGGCAAGTTTACGTCCAGTACTTTGCCATTGCTTTCTGGACAGTTGGCTTCTCGATACCACTGTCGAAACCAGCTCAAGGTCCGCAGATGGGATTGAGCCCGGTATTTTGAAGGGTGTTCGCAACGCCTAAGTCACAGACGCCGAGCCCGACTACAGTAGAGCAGAGATATTTCAAGCAGCTTTATGGGGAGAACAATCAGGAGAGATACCCTGAGCATGTGGGGGACTATCAAGAGAGATACCCTGAGCATGTGAGGGACCATCAGGAAAGATACCCTGAGCATGTGGGGGACCATCAGGAGAGATACCCTGAGCATGTGAGGAACCATCAGGAAAGATACCCTGAGCATGTGAGGGACCATCAGGAGAGATACCCTGAGCATGTGAGGAACCATCAGGAAATATACCCTGAGCATGTGGGGGACCATCAGGAGAGATACTCTGAGCATGTGAGGAACCATCAGGAGAGATAACCTGAGCATGTGAGGGAACCATCAGGAAAGATAACCTGAGCATGTGAGGGAACCATCAGGAGAGATACCCTGAGCATGTGAGGGAACCATCAGGAAAAAAAACCTGAGCATGTGAGGGAGCCATCAGGAGAGATACCCTGAGCATGTGAGGGAACCATCAGGAAAGATAATCTGAGCATGTGAGGGAACCATCAGGAAAGATAATCTGAGCATGTGAGGGAACCATCAGGAGAGATACCCTGAGCATGTGAGGGAGCCATCAGGAGAGATACCCTGAGCATGTGAGGGAACCATCAGGAAAGATACCCTGAGCATGTGGGGGACCATCAGGAAAGATACCCTGAGCATGTGGGGGGTCCATCAGGAGAGATACCCTGAGCATGTGAGGAACCATCAGGAGAGATAACCTGAGCATGTGAGGGAACCATCAGGAAAGATAATCTGAGCATGTGAGGGAACCATCAGGAAAGATAATCTGAGCATGTGAGGGAACCATCAGGAGAGATACCCTGAGCATGTGAGGGAACCATCAGGAAAGATAATCTGAGCATGTGAGGGAACCATCAGGAGAGATACCCTGAGCATGTGAGGGAGCCATCAGGAGAGATACCCTGAGCATGTGAGGGAACCATCAGAAAAGATACCCTGAGCATGTGGGGGACCATCAGGAAAGATACCCTGAGCATGTGGGGGGTCCATCAGGAGAGATACCCTGAGCATGTGAGAGACCATCAGGAGAGGTAACCTGAGCATGTGAGAGACCATCAGGAAAGATAACCTGAGCATGTGAGAGACCATCAGGAGAGGTAACCTGAGCATGTGAGAGACCATCAGGAGAGGTAACCTGAGCATGTGAGAGACCATCAGGAGAGGTAACCTGAGCATGTGAGAGACCATCAGGAGAGGTAACCTGAGCATGTGAGGGACCATCAGGAGAGGTAACCTGAGCATGTGAGGGACCATCAGGAGAGGTAACCTGAGCATGTGAGGGACCATCAGGAGAGGTAACCTGAGCATGTGAGGGACCATCAGGAGAGGTAACCTGAGCATATGAGAGACTATTAGGAGAGGTACCCTGATCATGTGTTGGAATGTGTGATGCTCAGTACTGTAGTCGAGGTTTAAACTTCACTTCAAACAGGTCACCCCATGATTGCTCCATTTATGTGCTATTGAAAATCAAATCAAGTACCCTTACTGTTCTGTTTGAAAACTAGTGAGCAAACAATTAGTCCCGACAAAATGCAGAAACATGCACATGCAGTAATTGCATAATGCAGTCACTATAAGCCAAGACTTAGTCTATCAGAACTGCAGTTTATCATTAGCAAACCATTGCCAGAAAAAGGAAAAAACATTTCAAAGCCTATCCACCTTATTGGATCAAAAGTCTGCTGCAGCGACATTCATTTTGATAGCATAACATTTTTCTCTGGTGTGTCATTTCCTGATTACCCTTTCTGGTATATTATCTCCTATAGCTGCACGACTAATGCACAAGTACAATGCCCATGGTGCTACAGACATCACAGGATTCGGTCTTTTGGGCCACGCCAACAACCTGGCAAAGGTTCAGAAGAATGAAGTTGGATTTGTAATACACAACTTACCTGTCATCGCCAAGATGGCTGCCATTAGTAAAGCCTGTGGGAACTTGTTTGGTCTGCTGCAAGGCACGTCTGCTGAAACATCAGGTTTGTGCATTTTTCTATTTAACCGCATGCGTGTAGCTTAACCCTGGTTGGCGGCTAATCGTTAAGGTAATCTATGACAGCTAGACAGAGCATTAAGTGCTGATACAGCAGCTTCTGCAGCTTGCATAGTTTCAGATGTTTAATGTACCATGTTATCTTTCCTTTCGAGTAAACAAGGTAGGCCAAGATCTTGATGCATGCTGACACAAAAACTCAAGCTCTAGAACAAGAGCAAAGTCTAGAAGAGGGTGAATAATGTTGCATGGGCAACACATGGTCCTGTCATTATTATTGCCCACGGAGAGATGAAACTTCATCCATGATCCTAACGGGTATCACCATGGGCAGTGATTCTCGTGCCTTTTTTGTAGTACGGCTAAACACTGCCATCCTGAAAGAGGAAATGGCAGCAAAAAACAACAAAAGTGCTGCACTAAGTGACGTGTGATAAACTCGATGAGAAACTTATCGCAAACTTGCCTGCTCAGCAAGATTCTACCCCCCTCACCCCCCATACATGCCACAGCCCGCCCTATGTTGTGGGGCCATTATATGACGGCTTCATTTGGCGTTTACTCGCCATATATAATGTTTGTGGGAGTTTGTATCGCTGTGTCTCTTTAAGGCGCCACAGGTGCTTGTGTACATTTAAGAAGTGCTGCAGGGGAACACACCGAAAACGTGATTATAGATGAGCACTCTTATGTTTTGTGTTTTTACATTCCGCGGTGGTGCCCCCCTCCCCTTCCCCACCCACCCCACTACAAAAAGAAGTCACTGAAGGAATGTAGAAACACAGAAAAATTCTAGTTTCGATACTCATGAATTGTCTGGCAAGTAGCACAATGTGGCAATAATCATGCAAGTAGGGGGTTTACAACACAAAAGGGAGAACGGTTAAACCGTTGGGGGAAAAAAGGGAGTACATGAGAACCGCACAACATAGGACAGGTCTTAGGACCGGATGCAGCATGAAAAGGAGGGGAAGGAACTCTTGCCATGCGGAAAAGTTAGTGATAAGTACTGCTCAGTGGTTAGTGTGCTGGCCTGCAGAGATAGGGATTTAGGATAGTCAGTGGAAGTGTCAGGACTTTTCCCCAACTAGTATTGAATGAATCATCAGCATCCTTATCATTATCCTGTTGTGCGATATGTCAACAGAGCTCACAGTCTGTTTATCCATTCCTCTCTTCTATTTTATGTTATTTCCTTGTTGTCGTGGCTGGAATCTGCCTTTCGTTCCTTTCAGGGTTTATTATGTTCTTGTGTTCCCAGTCGCGTAATTTCACATCTGTGTGCCATTTTGTTTCTCTGCTAATCTCTTGTCAGGATTGGGGCCAGTATTGTGCGCAGTAACATGTGTCAACTAGCACTTATTGAAAGTCAGTCGATGTAGGTGGACAGTTAGCAACATCACAGTCGAAAGCTATCCTTACCGTATTTGAACCCTTCACCATCAAATGATGACAGTGCGCTCACTGCCAGAAACACGTCTATTTCTTCTTAAGTCCAGCTTGATATCCCAATCTCTGCTCTCTGCTAAGAGGGCCAGTGAATAAGTGTTTATCAGGGCGTTATTAATTTGTGAATTAGAGTTCTTTTGTAATTTAACTGTTCAATAGCATTATAAATCAATTGATATAAGCAGAGGAATAAGTAAAGAGCCAATGACACACTGGACAGTTTAATTTATCATGAGAGTGATTAGAATTGGTTTTATTAATCTGCTTCTGTGTTTCGCCCTGAAAAGGGTGGTTGGGAGGTTGAGTTGTGGTTTAAAGCTAAACAGAGATATGTGAGCCTTTTAGCTGAACACATCTGAATACAGCAAACTCCAAATTAGTCACCCTTTATAGCATGCTTGTGGGGCGACAGTGGGTCCAGTCTGTTGTTTTGAGTGTGTCCCAAAGTTGGGCCGTGGAACCCACAAAGGGAACCTATCCTGCTGATTTCATTCATTGGCACCTTTCCGTCTTCCCAGACGATAGTGTTATATTGGGCTATGAGGAGGCATGAGACTCACAGTTCATGGCGATTGCGACGAGTGTGACTAGCAAGACCCGCCTGTGTCAAGAAAAGTCTTCCACAATGATAGCATGGGATTTCAGGACCATTGTTAACAACATTTGTGTTTAATCCGTTTCTTTTCAGACGCTCAGCTCTCATCCTTTCTGCAATCATTTCTTCCTTCACGTCTCATTTCCTTCCTGATATGCTCTTTCCACACAACACGGTCCATGGCATCTTGTTCCCATGAGTCCACCTCAATGCCATCTTGCTGATTACTGACTTGAGATTCGACATAAAAGCGCACTGGGCATACTCATAGAGGCTCCGTCTCCTGCAGCAGATGTCTCAGGGTGTAGCTGCTAACTGTCCCCATAGCATACTGATAATACACACGTGGTTCTCTTCCTCTCATACTCCTGTCCTTGCTGGATCCACTCCTAGTACCTTGTTCACACGTTATTTCATCTAATCTCGTGTTTTCTATCAAATTCGTTCATATGTAGTCTTCAGAATATCGCCCTTGTCCAATACGAATGTAGCTATCACTTTTGTAGACAGAAAATTTGCTTTTTAATTTCCTAACACTCAGAATCTCCTGAACGGTAAATGTATGTGATTCCCTTATCATGCTATTTTGAATGGCCCCAAGGGTTCTCCAATGATTGACGTAACTATTCCATAAAGTGTTATGCTTGGTTGCTGATATTTCTGCATTTGCATTTCTCACCAGGTGGTCTCCTCATCGCTCTGCCTAGAGAACAGGCAGCCGCCTTCTGCAAGGATATTGAAAAGCAAGAAGGCTACCAGTCCTGGATTATTGGCATTGTAGAGAGAGGCACCCGCACTGCTCGAATTATCGACAAACCCAGAGTTATAGAAGTCCCAGCGAAGGATCGGGAAGGAGAACTGTGGTAGTTGGTTTTATGTTTTACTTATTAAATGATAAATACAATCAGTTGCAGTTTAATCTCATCCACATTTGTGTTCAGTGAAGGTTTTCAAATGAGAAAATAAAAAGGCAGAAGAAAGTTGTCATTTTATTCTGTGAGTTCCAAATGATGCATGATGTGTCACTGACTATTTGCCACATGTTTCAAATGTCTCATCAAGTGTCTTCTTATATTTAAGTTTTGGTCAGTGTATACTAACTAAATCTGGCAGCCACAGAGGTACTTTTAGTGCATTTTTAAAAATTCATACAACACAAGTGGTTAGAATTCTTGTGATACTATTTAATGAAAACAATAACACAAGAGTGAATACATTTGCTGATGAAAATTGTTTGTGTGTTAGTGTATTATTGTTTAAACGGTTGTTGTGTATGAGAAAGGGTGTTTGACTGTACTGTACAGTAGGATAGATGTAGTGAAGTAGATGATGGAAATTTTTTTACACCTTTAGGGCATTGCTGCAGTTGGGGGATACAGCGGTCGTCAGCATGCCCCTGCCTTTGCTTCCCAGGACATTTTAGGCTGGGTCGACCTGGATACTAAGATTCTTGTTCTAAGCGTTCACTGGCTGTTAACTCAAGACAGGAAGTTCTGATTGTTTGCCCACTTCTGAACTTTGGTCTTGTGCCAGAAGATGCATTTTGCATGCTGATCTGTTTTACAGATCTGGCTTATTTGTGCAGATGGCTGGTTCCTTGCCTTTCTGGTAGATTCACTCCAGCTTCAAAGGAAACACCCTTAAATAGTTGTCTTTTATGACATGTTTTTTTTTTGGGGGGGGGGGGGAAATCTGTTCTCTTACCCCTATTGTACCCTGGAACCCACACGGGGGTCTCAAATATTAAGAGGCTTTATCTTTTCAGTACTCATACATATAAATTTGTTGTATACATTACAATTTGGCATATGTTCTTTCAAATTCATTTCATTCAGAATGCAAAATACTAGACTAAGAGTATTTTGTAACAAAAGGAATGTTGAAGGAGAAATATTAAGTTTGTTCACTTTTGTATGTATGTTTGTCTGGATGAAGATTTGCAGCCAGTTTTAATACTTTTCCTGATAAGCGGTTGCGCTCAGGTGTTCACATGCAGGCTTTGTGGATGACTACTGCAGAAATGTTCGGAGTTTAAAAACAAAATATTTTCAATATTGAATGTATATACTGACAGCTGACATTTCCAATAGAAATTCTGTGAATCACCCCAAATTTGAATTATAGCACACAACACAGAAAAAACCTTCAAGAGTTCTGTCAAGACATCCTCCTTCTATTCTACCTTGTGCCGTAGCGAAGTGTCGGGAAGAGATGTAACATTCGTTGATGAGCTCTGTCAAGAGCACTTTTAAGACTGATGTTCATTTCTCTAAGGCTGTTCTTAATGCCATCACCTCATATTTTCCGAGGTCTTTCACTTGCTCTATACCCGTTGTTATATATTAGTGTGGCAGATAGTACCAGGGCATTCTTATTAGGTGTCCAAACCATTTCATTTGTTGTTCCTTGATAACTTGTAAGATTGGTTTTATTCCTAGCATTCATCTGAGTTCGTTTTCTGTTTTTCCATGAAACTCCTGCAGCTCTTCTAAGGCATTTCATCTCTGTTGTCACAATTTTATGTTTATTGGAGGATGTAAGTGTCCACGTTTTGCACTGATAGCATAGTGACAAGACCGATGGCTCAAAAGTTAGGAAGTTAGTGGGAGTTGTGACATGACAAAGGGTGCAGCATTATCATAATCACACCCACATTTTTTTTAAGATTATACTAGGGGACTATATTTTAGAAAGATGGTAATAATGTATGGTGGTGGGTAGTGATTTTCCGTGAATTCTTGTTGTAGATTGAGTTTCTAACCACGCTGAGAGAGCATTTATCACAGAGACGATAAAACAAAACAGGGAAAAAAATCATTCAAACATTGAGTTTAATATTGATTGATATTTGTAGTCATGACTAAAAAGAAGTCATTTAGAAAATATCAAAACAAAACTTTGTATAAAATAAGCGTTTATTTAAGACGCTTAAAATTCATCGTCTTCATTAGTCTTATGTCTATAAGGCACTAAAATTTGATTTATATAAAATGATTATATAATTTATATAATTTGACAATAAGAATGCCATTGAAAAAAGTGATCTTTAAGAATGTAAGTGGTATCCACTAAGAGATGAATTTAGTTTTTGTTGTCTTCACTGGGAAAAGGTTCCTTGGAACTTGAACGATTTGCGGTTTGATCACTGTTTCGAAACAGATTATGTTCACATCCCGAGGTACCACTGTACGTTTATTAAAAATGCTGATTTGAGTGTTCAGACAAGAGGGTTACAATTGTTTCAGCATAGCTGTTCTACAAAATTGCACAGCCCCAGCAGCATTTGGCAGGGTAATCTGGAGCATACACCTTGTGTTCCTCGCCATAGACAAAGAAGACGGAGTTTTGCTGTTTCTTGTAGTTGTAAAATACTTCCGTTACAGGAATTATACGAACTCTGTGGCGCTGAGAAATATATGTATAACATAAGAATTTAGAGTTTTACTAAAGCTTTACATGAATACACACATGTCTGTGTCCTGTCCAGACATTGACAGACATCTGGCAGTGTAGGCGCTGATGATCTCTAAACGCTTCTTATTGCACTTGACATTGGTTTCTTTTGGTTTTTATCTTACTACAATTGCACGAAACAATACTGGAGTGAAAGTTAATAAACCCTCACATAAACTACATACAGGCATAGAATCTGTTTTATTTTTAAAGCATCTTTACAGGAGCTATGGCTCGGGTGTTGATACTCGCAGTAGGAGTAGGAGAGGAAGAGGGAGAATAAGGACGGAGAGAAAGAAACGTGCTGCTAAGAGGAGGACTAGAAGAAAAACTATTTATCTCTAAGTTCATTCGCAGTGGTTATTGAAACTGTTGAAGCGCAATGCAACAAGCACACACGCTGCAGAAAATGGTGGGTGACTCGATCATTAAATGTTGAGGATATGACAGCTAGTGATCCGTGTGAAACACAAAGCCGAGGTCTAAAATGTATGTTAGGCATAGAATCCAACAGACTGTGATGAGAGCGACGTTCTGCAAAGGACCTGCTACATGATGATGATATCTGTAGTCTAGACTGTAACTGGCGCACGCCAAGCCTATATGTGAGTTACCAACGATAAAAGGCATCCGATGCATGGTCATCTGAAAAATTTAAGAGGAGACTGATTTGCAAAGAGGATAGTCATAAATGGCACTAGCTGAAGATACCATCGAGACGGCGGCCTTAGTCGGGCAAATAAACAGGAGGCGGGAATGGATCGACACAAACACCCACAACAGCAGTTTGCATCAGGTCATTATCACATTAGGAAGAGAATGTAGAGAGTGGTGTAACAGGTTAGGAGAATTAGAGGTACAACAGCCAATAGATGACAAGGTGGGGCTAGATGATGCGGTTGATACTGCGGAAAGTTCAGAATGGACTCATGTGGCATGAGTGGATACCAAGCATCAGTACGCAACATATGAGCGGTACTCTAGAGCCTAGTGAGGGTTGTTGGGAAGGGGGGCTGATATGCACTATACACAACCACACACATGTATGAAACACATGTCTTTAGACCCACGTGTGAATGCGTGCATATGCACTACCATACTCACATGCATATACACACACACATACGCCTGCATGCCATCTTACGTCTGTTGAAAAATGAACAGAAAAATTTGATCGCGTTCAAGCTTTCAAGCCCATCTGAGCCGTTGCTTATAATTGCAATCTTTATTGTGAAGTACTTGTTCTGATTGGGTTTCCCTTGGTTCCATTTGGTTTTGTTGTCAATGGACCTTTATCTGATGGTGATCCTTTTGTCTATTAAATTCTTGTAATATGTTCAAGAAGGTTAGTATCCACTGTACTTTTTTAGTATTTAGGTTAGTTTCGTTCCCTACAAAGAGAGTTCCTTGTCAGGACACATTCGGCGAAAAATTGTTTGTTGTATTCTTCCAATATCATCCTGCCATTGCAAGGTATTTGATTGTTGTCTTTGACAGTGTTTCTTTATTCTTATTGGTTGATTTATTCTCCTATTTTCCTTGCTGCTGTTTGCTTCCACTTGGCTGGTAATGGTGATTAATCCCTACAAGGAGTTTTGTGTAATCTTGTCTTTCTTTCCATCCTCCTTCATTTGTGTCTGTTCTGTGTCTTGTGTCTTCCTAATTGCTTGCCGCTTGGGATTCGGTTATTCCATCTCCGTTGATAATATTTTCTTCTGTTCCCTAATAATCTTTTCTCTGTCTCTTTCCATATTGTACTCGGGCTCGTCAGTCTTCGTTCTTCTGGATGTTTTTTAGGTGGAAGTGCCTTGTTGATTGCTGCATCGAACCTGTCTTCAAAATTGTTGTACCCCTTCCTGGTAGACTCTTCATGTGTTATTTATTTTGGCCTGTCTTCTGTTGTCTTTCTACTATTTTTCTTGGCTGATTGGTTTTTGTGCGTGTTTATCTTCTTTCTTTATCCCTTTCATCTTTCTGTTTTTGCAAACCTTCCAGTAATGCTGTTGCTTCTGATTTTTATTACCTGAATGTCTTGATATTGTTAATTTATTATATATTTCTTCCATATCTGGAGAACCGGTATTGCTTCAGCGTTGACTTCTTTGGTGCTTACCTTGCTTTCTTCTTGAATTGTTTTGCTTGCTTTCAGTGACATGACTTCTTCTTCCTCTAAACTTCTAATTTGGTTGTGCTTTACTGATTTCTCCACAGATGTGAAGTTTCTGGAATTCCCATATCTTCTTCTTGCCTCTTTGCACAAGATTTTCTCCGTGGTGGCAATCTTGACGGAATGCATGCGGTGGACAATAGGCATTCCCCACTATCGAATGAGGCTTTTATAAATGCTTTAATGAAAATAATCTTTAAAATGTGCTTTTCAAACAATTATATATTGAGAAAGCCTTTACAGTCTCACATAAAGTGAAAACATTACTTGTGAAAGATGGACAATAAACAGACCAGCTGGGAAAACATCTTATGGCAGCAGGAATTCGTTTGTGAGGAAAATATATTAAAAAACACAGACAAACAGATAAGGAAAGAAAACAAACCTTGAAAAAAAAACTGACTAATTAGATTCCCATGTGGGTTCTGAGTCCCAAATATGGTGTAACAAAAAAAAAAAAAAAAATACTGCTAGCCCTCTAAGAAGCATGTCATAAAAGTTGACCGATTAGCGGTGTTGCCTTTACAGTTAGAGTGCATCTGCCTGAGAGGCAAGGAACCAACAGTTGGCACACAAATAAGCCACGTTTGTAAAATGAATATGCACGCAAAACATAAGTTCTGGGGGGGGGGGGGGGAGCTAGTCCAGAAGTGGACAAACGACCAGACATTTCAGATAGAGTTTACTGCTGGGGAACGCAAAGGAAGGGAAGAAATAATTAGATTTTGGCAGTCAGTATTTTATGGGAACATTCTAGAAAACAAACTTGACAGTTGGTAAATCTGGATGGAAACTAAAAAGTGGAAAATCTGGATATTTTTACAAATGCAGGGGGTTGAACATAAGCACAGACCTGACCTGACCTGAGATTCTTCTGATTGTGTGAGATGGTTAGCCAGGTCTGAACAAGTGGCACATGATGGTGTTGATTCGACAAGGGAGATAAGTAGATAGTCAGCCTAGGACTTAGAGATCTGGAAACCACTGGCAAAGACAAATTTACCTGCATCAGAATCCTTTCTGCCGTAAATTGTCCGGCATGTTTACTGACCAAGTTGTTGGAAGCAGCGTTGATTTCTTGTTCTGGGAAGTGGTTCACAGGCCATACCTGATGATGATTTATTTAAACAGAAAGAACTGATATATATGTATAATCAAAGCGCTGTTTATCTTGTGTTATGTATGCTCCAGGCTTCCATTTTGGGGTGAATGGAACTGATCTACTCTGCCGAACAGGTATGTTGTAAAAGGCGACTAATGGGTTAGCTGAAAGTAGTAGTAGTGATATGGATGTGTGTCGGCACACGAACTGATATATGCTGCAGGAGATCGCAGATTATGGAGAGGCATGATCGCCCACGCCAGTCGACAAGGCACCTGATGATGATGAAAGTAGATGTTTTCGGCCGAAAGGCACATATGTCTTCTTTTTGTTGACCAGCTGTAAACTCTAACGGATAGTTCTGGCTGTTCGTTTACTTCTTCTGGACTATTCCAGAACCTGAGTGTTGCGTGCACATCCGTTTTACAGAGATGATTTATGTGTGTGCAGACTGTTAGTTAATCGCCTCTCAGGCAGATGCACTTTCAACAAAGGCATAGATATAGCCTAGCTAAGTGCTAATTGCCATTTTCAAGGCGAACACAGAAGAAGAAAAAAGGAAGTTAGAAGCAAAGCTGCACAAAAAACTTATTCTTCAGAATTCAAAGTCCTTGAGGTTTTATTGCTGCCGATTTCACCCACCCCTGTTCCTCGATGTGATTGGCACTCTCTTTCAAGTTCATGACTCCGCGTGTTTGTAGATATGCCTAGATATTTTCTCTCCAGTGTGTCTTGTGGTCTACAACCATTTAACTTCTTTGTTGCTTCTGTTTCTTATGTGCCCCAGCCATTTCAGTGTTAGCCCTCATGATGTCAGTGATCATAGATGATTTAAACAGATTACCGTTTCTCACTCTCCATTCCCGCTGTTTCATCTTTAATCATTCCAAATATTTGTTGTAAGACAAACATTTGTAATAGGTGTTCATCACTTTTTGTTGTGCTTCAGGTTTCAGAGCCATACCAGGCAACTGGTCTTTTAACCGAAAAAATTAGCAGCCAAATAGTTTGTATCTTTAACATTACTTTTTTTTTTCTTTTTCCTGGTCTCATCTAACAAGGGGTATAAAGCCAATCAGTCATCTTCTTCTTCTTCGTGACCTCCTCTTTTACCGCTTGGGGTGTCGAGGGAGATATAACGTCCTGCTTCGTGCTTTTTTGGCTGCTTCGACCTAAGACACATCGTTGTACTGAAGAGTTTCTCTGATGTTATCCTTCCATGTTGTTCTTGGTCTACCTCTTGCTCTACGCCATCACCAATTTTATTTTGTCTGGTTTTTAGAATGTTAAAAATGATCGCATGGATGAATAAGATACAAACTCATTGGTCTGTCCTGATTTAATGGGTCTGCATTCTTGATCAGCTTGAAGAAATTAACAATATAAGACCTGTTTCTCTTCAGCTATCGTGATTCCATCCAGACACTCACTACCCCACACAGTCATCCAGTAATCTTCTTCTTCTTCGCGTTCACTGGCGGTAGCCTCCGGCGAAAAGTTCTGTTTTTTTTAAAATCCACTTCTGGACTAGAATGTTGTGTGTACATCCGTTTCACAGGTCTGATTCATTTGCATGCAGACTGTTGGTTTTTTGCCTCTGAAGCAGATGTACTCTGTCTTCGAAAGAGGTTTCCAATTAGTCGACTCTTATGACATGCTTTTGGAGAGGCAATGGGTCTGATCCTGGTTTTCCCGGAACCCACACGGGGAATCAAGAAATTCACGTAGCCATCCACTAACCTACTCATTCATTTAGAAATCCTCTAAGCCAGCCACTCGCTCACTCAACTGCTGGATGAGGTTCACACCGAGCACTCTGATAATATCAACACAAATAAAATACAAGTAAGTTCTTTGACAAAAGTCAAAGAAATAGACACAATCTTAGAAAAAAGAAGAGGTCTTAAGACTGGCATCAGACAAGACACCACAGAGAGCAATGATATACGGACAACGGTAAAAGACCCAGAGGTCGAACACAAGAATATGGACCGCAGAAATATCAGAGACACTGATAAGTATTTCACATAAAGCAACCAGAAGGGCCGGTTCCAGAGATCTCTTCCTTCCCTGACGCAGCGAGGCATTCCAGGAGTAGAGAACAGAGGAGAAGAATATTCAATCTTTAAAAATCGAGCATGAACATTCAGTCAGTGAGAAAGATGAGAATTACCCTCGGAGAAGTCTCCTCAAATGCAGTTTGCCCACGCACTGTCCGGATCAGCTCATCGGGCAGAGCGGTTCTTTCAACAATATGATCATCCAGGTGATTTGTCCTCAAAAATTTGCACAAATTTATAAATTATAATAAAACGAAGATCTTTACGATTATTACAATGATAATCTGAGCCAACAATGATATCTTTGCTAACCTTACATTACTGGTCAGCAAATACTTGTAGTAAACTTGTTCCTGCAGCGAGGCGTCGCCATTTGAAGGTCACAGGTTATATTCCCAGGATGGTAAACTATAGCTTCTTATCTCACAGTACCTTCTGCAACATCACCAATTCGTCTTGTCCCTATCCGAACAACATCCGGTAATTCGTGCAGCAGGGGAAACCAACCCTGAGCTTCATTAACTCAGGTGGGCTCACTCTCTGAGAATGTCTAGGAGCTCGTGAGCCGAAACATTTGTCAACGAGAGGTTAACTTCTACTGATGATTCGTAGACCCCTGCTGTACATGCTCCCCTGTGGAGTTTCTTCTTATAGCTATCGATTTTTGTGTTGTCTAGTGTGTCATTCTATCTTTCTACTTATGTTTTTGTTTATTTTATCTATACACATTATTTTCACAGCCTCGATAGTCCCCTCTCTGTTTATGTGTATTACGTGCAACACAATGAAACAGACCAGTTAGATCTATTTGGGGGTGTGGTGGGGTGGGGGGTTCCTGAAACTATGAATTGTAAACCCTTTGGCTGGGTAATATTGATGTCACAACCCTTTGGCCTTGATCCCATGATTGATATGTAAAGCTAGGAAATATGTGGCTTTTCTGAATATCCCAAAGCGTGAACTCGGACCACACTGAGTTTGTCACCATGTCGTCAAGTAGCTGGTTTAACCAACTTGGCTAGCGCGCCGGGCAATCTCTTTCTTAAATGTCTGGTTTATTATCGACATAGCGTTGCGGTCTGATATATTCTTTATTGTTTTGTTTGTTTTTCGACCTATGCTTGGTTAATATAAATTTATGTAAGCGAGGATTCTGTCCGTATTCGTTAATTATCGATTTTAAGCTGTACGACAGACATGGACAATGAAGACACCTTCTTTTAGAGATGCCTAGCTGAACATGTTCTTAGTACACGTGTTTCCTAGACGAGGCATTCACACTATTCGGAGGTTACAGGTTCGATTCCCGGCACGGTATCGAAAAGATTTAGAGTTTTTATGTTGTCTAGTGTGTCCTTTTGTCTTTCTAAGAGTTGTCTGTTTGTTTACCATACACAGTATACATTCATATCCATATCTTACTCCCTCAAAACACGTGACTCAGAACTTCTGCTGTATAAGCTTGGTGATCGAGAGTTTGTGACACGTGACTCAGAACTTCTGCTGTATAAGCTTTGTGATGGAGAGTTTGTAACTCGTGACGCAGAACTTCTGCTGTATAAGTTCTATAAGCCTGGTGATGGAGAGTTTGTGACACGTGACACAGAACATCTGCTGTATAAGTACTATAAGCCTAGTGATGGAGAGTTTGTGACTCGTGACGCAGAACTTCTGCTGTATAAGCCTGGTGATAGAGAGTTTGTGACACGTGACACAGAACTTCTGCTGTATAAGTACTATAAGCCTGGTGATGGAGAGTTTGTGACACAGAACTTCTGCTGTATAAGTACTATAAGCCTGGTGATGGAGAGATTGTGACATGTGACACAGAACTTTTGCTGTATAAGTACTATAAGCCTGGTGATGGAGAGTTTGTGACACGTGACGCAGAACTTCTGCTGAATAAACTTAGTGATGAAGAGTTTGTTACATGCCTAACAGGATGAGTTATTTTATGTTTTCTTATCTGTAATTATCATTGTCCGTTTGTATCGTATGCTGATAAGGGATTTGCAGCTGCAAAATTGGTTAAAGCTTTTATAAATTTTGTTTTAAAATAGTTTTTGTTATTGTATGAAACTGACCAGCCATTATTACATTTGTTTAAACAAATTCTTTTCTCACTCTTCTGCTCTTGCAATAATATGGGGGGGGGGGGGGGGGGGTGAAAAGGGGGAGGGGTTGGGGGTAGTGAATTGCAGGATGCAAAAGTTTTAACCACTTCCCCATAGATTATCATCATCAGGTAGCAGTTCTTTTGCAGAACGTCGCTCTCACCACGGCCTGCATGAAAGACACTCGGTCTCTCGCCAGCTCTCCCGCCTCATGTACTTTTATACTCAAAGAGTCATTTATATCCTGTGCCCATCTTCGTGTTAGTCTGCCCCTGCCCCTTCTTCTTGGTACTATGCCTTCTGCTATTATTGTTTCCAATCCGTCGTGGCGCTTGATATGACCAAAGTATTTCAGCTTCCGAGCTAGGATGCTGTTTCTGTTTATTAGCCAATCTTCCTTGAGGTTCAGATCTTTCAAGATGTCAGTATTTCTCCTCTTCTTTGCCCATGAGAGAATCTTTCTGCAGCATTTCAGCTCAAAAACCTATATTCTCTTTCCCCATGGATAAACATTAATATCCTGAAGATATTTACCATTGAACAGTTAACATAATAAACCAGCGCAGGTTTCCTCTTCCCTGGCATTTGGAGCACATCACTTGGCCAGATCCACCACAGAAAGTACAGCTGAATGTAAAAACAAAAGCAGCTATTAGTTGAAATGGTTACGGTGCTAAACAGAATCAGTGTAAATGGCTTATGATAACCCTCCTGTGAATTTGAGTTTAACAGATTCATAGAAGCAGCCCGAGCTCTAAAATATAATAATATTACATACGAGCCAACACGGGGGGGGGGGGGGGGGGGGCATAGGCTCAGGAACCTTTGGGTTCTGGTCCTAGGTCCTTTGAGAAACCCAACACAATTTTAGGCGGTTGGGCAAGGGCTCCCTCAATATTTAGCTCTCTTCCCTCGAAGTCGGAGTACATCTGCCGGTGAGGCAGGGAACGAGGACTGCAAACAAATAAGACAGTAAAACGGATGTACACGCAAAACTCAGGTCAAGGTAAAAGCCAAAAGTCCATTTGGACGAACAACCGCGACTTACCGCCGGAATTCACAGCCGGTGAACAACAAGAAGAAGAAGAATTAGCTCTCTGATAGATGTGGCTTTCATTCCACACAAATGCACCTATTTCACTTGACTTCAAATAAAATATACATATATCCTAGCCTATCTTAAGGATACTGTCTGTATATTTGTCCTAATTAAGAATGGTAGGGTCCTGTTCACGTTTACCGGTCCATTTACACACTACCTGACCTTTCATTCATAATTTCTCAGGCTCTTCTACGTCAGAGGGGTGTCACGTTCTCTTCCCTTCAATTACATCAGCTCTGATGTCGCGTGTTCTATACTACAGGACCACACAGCTTTCAATGACCGAATAAAATGTTGAACTGGATTTAACCCTCCCCCCACCCCACACCACCCACAGCCTCAACCTAGGCCACACGATAGACCCTTTTCGAAGAAAGCAGTACAACATTACACCACTCTGACCAAGACCAGACTGAGAAAGTGTGTAGATTGTCCGGGAAACGTGAACAGGTCCAATATTAGTAAAGTAATGCTTCACGTTAGAGCGCGTATTTGTTATCAGGGATTTCCCGGCTAAACATAACAAAGCCAGTTTAGGGTCAGGAAAACATGTATAAGGAGATGGGCTGGAACTGTGTGTTGTTCGCACAGAAACCTAGCTCAGGTACCTCGAGCGCCCCATCCCTCACCACCAAACCAGGCAACTTATAATTGTGTACGAAGGATGACATTTCTGTGACAGTTAGATGCCCATCTACTAGCCCGAAAGTCTAGGGTTCAAATCCATATCGAGACGGATTTGTTTACAAAATAAGGCAGTACCTTGTGGGAGAACGTGTACGGTTCGGAGGAGCAGATGGATCACCATAGTCTGGTGAGATTGATACAGGGGGAGTGACGAGAGGTTCTGGCAAATGCTCGAGGCTCAGAGGAAATCCAAGATGGACGTTTAATCAGAATGCTACTAGGACTATTAGTATCGGAACTCTTCGCTGGCTGCTGAAGATGGGAACGGAGCGTTTATGGGAATGCCCAAAGTGCTGTGATGTCGGTTCTTGAACCAAATCAAATCAAATCATTGTTAACAGAAAATTTAATTTTGGCTTTCAGGTCGACCAAATCTAAAATGGGTACTGCGATATTCTGGGAGGCAAAAGTTATCGGAGAGATGGTGGCATCATCTATCGACTGTCAGCGGCTGCCCCTAGCCAACTCCAAACTGTCTAATTCTGACAAACAAGTTAAGCTGCAGGTCACATTGTGTGTGTGTGTGTGAGGGTGTGTGTGTGTGCGTGTGTATGTATGTGTGCGTGTGTGCGTGTGTATGTGTGTGAGTGTGTGTATGTGTGAGAGTGTATGTGTGCGTGTGTGAGTGAGTGAGTGTGTGGGTGTGTGTGTGAGTGTATGTGTGTGATTGAGTAAGTGTGTATGAGTGAGTGTAAGTGAGTGTGTGTGTGTGAGAGTGTATGTGTGCGTGTGTTAGTGAGTGAGTGTGTGGGTGTGTGTGTGAGTGTATGTGTGTGATTGAGTAAGTGTGTATGAGTGAGTGTAAGTGAATGTGTGTGTGCGCGTGCGTTCGTGCGTGCGTTAGGGAATGTTAGAAACAGAGAGAAGGATAATGAACGAACCCGATTTGTACTGGGTTGACAGTTAAGCACTCATGTTTGTTTAACCTTTTGAGCTTCTGCTCTCAATTCCTGGTGTGTTTCAATACATCTTTTCACAAACATACAAACATACACACACACAGACACACACACATACAAACACACAGACACCCAGACACAGACACACACACAGACACACACAGACACACACAGACAAACACACAGAGACACACACACATAACACACAGATAAACACACAGACACACATACAAACACACACAGAAATACAACGTCTACCTTGAGTAGCCACCAATGCACCAAGTGCAACGTCTGGTGTGATGTTGGCCATTGTCGTAATATCTTTCCACGCTTGTTCCGCCACAACTGGTGCACAGTTTCTGATAACGTGTTAAACATATGTTAATCTTTGTCCCAGAACACACAGAAAGCGAAGCCTACAGTTTTGGTCTGCTTACTTACTATGGGGCGCCAGAACCCGGGGTCTTGGGTACCTTGAACCCCCCCCCCCCCCCACTATCATTATTTTAATAATCTTCATTATATAAATCTTAGACTCCTTGGGTGCCCCTCTCCTCGCCCAGAAGATGTGTAAAAGGACAAAGCATATTATTTACTTAATATCCATACTGTAAAATTCTTCTTCTTCTTGTTCACCGGCTGTGAATTCCGGCGGTAAGTCGCGGTTGTTCGTCCAAATGGACTTTTGGCTTTTACCTTGACCTGAGTTTTGCGTGTACATCCGTTTTACTGGCTTATTTGTTTGCAGTTCTCGTTCCCCGCCTCTCCGGCAGATGTACTCCGACTTCGAGGGAACATACTGTAAAATGAAAATTTATATAATGAACAATAGCAGCTATCAGAGCAGCTGGTGAAATATCGGATCGGTTTGAATTGCAAAGGAGGAGGCAGGGGTGAATTCTCTCACCATACATTTTCCATATATATATGCAGAAAACATAATATGAAATGTCAAAAATGTTCAGACTTATGACATTTATAATCCTCTCATATTGGGTGACAACCCTATTCCGGCACTTCGCTATGCAGATGAGACAGTCCTCCTTTCAAACAGTGTAAAGGGAAAAGAAAATATCATATATGTCCAAAACATAGTGAAAATCAAATCCTATTCATGAATTTAAAGAACACGAAAATAATACCCACAGACAAAACTGGTTGTTACCCACAAATAACAGTAAATGCTTGAGAAATTTAAAAATGTCACAGACCTTGAATATCTAGGCTCTATAATAAATAGCAATGGAGAACGTTTGACAGAAATCAAAAGGAGAATGGTCATAGCAATGGAAAGATTAAACAGCTTTACACGTCTGTGGTTAAGCACCAGCAAGAAATCAAAATTAAAATCTTTCCTGTAGCAGCATACAAATGTGAGTCGTGGACTATCTTCCAGTCCTTAAGGAAGAAAATAGGAGCTTTTGAGTTAAAATGCGATAGACTTATTTTCAGAACACCACGGACAAAAAAGAGAAGAAATATTGACATTTTAAAAGATATCAACAGCAAGGAATTTTGGCTAATAAACATCAAAGCGTCTCGGAAGCTGAAATATTTTGGTCATATCAAGCGTTATGACCGATTGGAAAAAAATAATAGAAGAAGGCATGGTACCAGGAAGGAGGGTCAGAGGCCGACCGACACGTCGATGGGCACAGGATATAAATGACTCCTTGAATATAAAAGTACATTAGGCAGGTGAGCTGGGGAGAAACACTGTTTCTTTCAGGCAGGCCGTGATGGGAGCGACGTTCTGAAAAGGATCTTCTACATGAGGATAATGATTATTATTTATGAATTGTTTTCTCAAACAAACTAGAAAAGAGATTTAGTAACTATGGAAGTAAGATGTCTGAGAAAGGCTATACGAGGCACCAGAAAAAGCAGAATAAAGAATAAAGTCTTTCGAACGGAAATAAATAGACATACAAAGACCGCTCAGAGGTAATGACTTGTGACGTAATACCATACAAGGCACACAATAAAAGAGAGAAGAAACGTAGAGCAGAAGGTAGACCAAGAAAAACGGAAATGCAACATCAGAGAAACTCTACAACAGTCCAAAGCGTCCATGGCCGACGCACCCAGAGAAACAAGAAGACAAACAATTATACAAGTATCTCTCACCCGAAGTAACAAACAGGAAGTGAATAATAATAATAATAATAATAATAATAATAATAATAATATAATCAAGTGTCTTGCCAGCTGGCGTTCTCGGTCTTTGGTGTTCTGGATCAATTATACCCATATTCCTCCATGCCACTGTCTTAAGACATCCACAATAATTTCTCCTGGTCTGCTTCTGATTCTTCTACCAGTGATCTTTCCAGTCGTTACGATATTTTCTAGTGCTACTTTTCTCATTGCATGATTAAAGAACTGTGTTTGTCTCCTTCTCTTTATTGTATATAATGTTCTACTTTCATTAACCATTTCCAGGCATTCAATGTTGGTTATTCTGGCAGTCCCAGCTATTCTCAACATTCTTTTCAAGAACCATCTCTCGGTTACTTCCAAACTCATCCTAATTTGTTTGCTCACATTCCAAGATTCAGAACAGGACAGGCTCGATGTAACATTTGAATACTCGTTTTCTGATGTTTAATTAGAGTGATTTATTTCATAAAATACTTTTCATCTTTTGAAAAGCTAATAATAATAATAATAATAATAATAATAATAATAATTATTATTATATCAATAATAACAATAATAATAATATTCATGTGGCAGGTCCTTTGCAGAACGTCGCTCTCATCACGGTCTGCCTAAAAGAACCTCGGTCTCTCGCCAGTTCTCCCGCATCATGTACTTTCATACTCAAGGACAAGGAGACACTTATATCCTGTGACCGTCTTCGTGTTGGTCGGTCCCTGTGCCTCCTTTCTGGTACCATGCCTTCTGCTATAATTTTTTCCAGTCCGTCTTGGCGCTTG